TTTTGCATTTCAGCCTACTTCCCATCGTGAAGCCATTAAAATAAAACCTTCCAGCCATGGAACATCGTCGCTGCGTAGAAAGGCAGCAGGTAATGAGTCCTGTCGGGCTGTTGGACGACGCGGAGGGGGGGGGGCATTTTGCACTTTTGCTACTTCCCATCGACGTGTCGACCTATCTAGACAGCCTCTTCTCGAGTTGACAGGTTTTACCATGATGGCTTGACGACCTTGCTCCAGCTTCACAAGTTCACAGGTTTCGCCAGAGAGACTTGTAAACCGGAACTAAGGAAGCAGTGATAGTACAAAATGCCCCCCCCCCGTCGCCGAACTGCGCCGAAATTATTTCGTTACACTAATTCACCCCTAGAGATAAGAACTCACGGGCATGGACACCTAGTGCAATCGTCACGCGTTCCGGTGGTTGCATCGCCATAAAAGCCGGTTGCACATCGCTCGCAGCTGTCGCCGACTGTATTGTGAAGGCAGGACTGCAAAAGGGCCTCAAATTAGTATTATATACAGTCTTATTCCTGCGGAATGATGGGCATGAGGGGAAGATTTGGCGCAACGCTAGCCCTTTTATCTCTTGTGGCAAGCGACAAGACTGGATCATATTGTTCGTATCAGTCGTTTTCACCAACTGTTGTCGCTTACCCGCTTCAACAACTGGTGGAGAACGGGCTGGCGGCGCGCCAAACCCAGCCTCACTGACACGCCCCATCATCTGCAGCGAACAAGGCTGTATTACCATCAGCCGTAGACTTGAGCACTGATTAACAAATATACTGGTGCTTAGTATTTGAAGGTACATATATCTCATTAGTTGCTGACCTAACCCATTTTCTAGGGGCAGTTTTGAACCCGTTCTATGAGTCTTCTTTTCTGGTAGCACCCACGCCATTGCCCATGCCTCAGCTGCCATGGCAGTACTAGAAAATTCAAGAAAAACAACTCACTACCTGACATTTTCCGTCAGAATCACATTGGTCAGAATGGTTGTTGCATGTGCAGGAAGCCGGCTCGGCTTCAGCTTCGATAGGCGTACAACCGCCTTCCAGCGGATTACCAGTGAAGGATTCCATGCATCTGGAATGAAAGTATTCTAACTTGTAAACTCGGGAATTTTCGGGTGAAATGGATTTGCCGGCACATGGGAGGGGTAGGCTAGAATGGCCCTTTACCATTTCCAGTACAAAACACAGCAAAAAGCCGGCGTTAGTATTACTTACTACTTACGAGATTCATTTACCAATAATCGCCATGCTTGAAACATGAGGTACAGGAGAGAAAGATGCAAAGGTCAAAGTCTACGTTGATCCCATGGGCGTGGTCAGGTCCACCATGGCGCCCTCCCTGTCGGCTTCCCTTCTGTTCACAACAATTCAGAACTATGGTGGGTCTGAGTCCGCCCATGTGATGAGTGTAGACAGT